TTTCTCTCTGTCTCTCTCTCTCACTGTCCACTCTGCCTGTCAAAAAAAAAAAAAAAAAAAAAGACTTTAAGTTGCCACGTTTAAAATTATAAACTTATTATAAACTCAACAAGAGGCACTTGCTTATTTCACACAGCATTTTTGAAAGCATCTGTAGGATTTTACAGAACATTAACTCTTTAGGCCTCTGTAGTTAAAATAGATCACAAAGCTTTGGCTGTTGCCAGGCATTTGGCGAGTAACCAGTGGATGGAAGATTCTCCCTCCCTCCCTCTCATCCCCTCCTCTCTCCTCTATCCTTTCCCTCCCCCTCCCCTCTCTCCCCCTCTCCCTCTCTCCTGTCTCCTCTTTCTCCCTTTCCCTCCCCCCTCCCTCTCCCCTCCTCTCTTCTTTTCCCTCTCCTTTAAAAAAATGAATGAGACTTTAAAGAAAACAATAGTGTAAGTCTGGGATGGAGAAAACAGAGTGTACTGTGTGAGGTTTTTATTCTATAAGTATATCCTATACATTTTAAGATTCACTGAAATAAGGAGCTATAACTAATAAGGCAGCAAACAAAATTAAAATGGAAGCATATGAATCAGTCCGTGCAAAAGAATGAAGAACTGGAAAAGAGAAGCAAACATAAAATGGGACACATTAAGAAAGCAGGAGGCAAGATGGCAGGTTGAGACACAATCAGCAGTCATAGTACTTTTAAATGGACTGGGGAAGGCTTAGTAATGACATCCTCCTTGCCATAGGCTATCCATGTCTTAATCCCTAGAACCTAAATATGTTATCCATGTGGAGAAAGGAAGTTTTCAAATGTCATTAATTAAATTAATGCTTTTGAGATCTGAAGAATATCCTGATTAGCCAGGTAGGGCCAGTGTTATTGCAAGGAAAACTTAAAAGGAGACAAGAGTCAGTTAAAGGTGGTGGTGACAGAAACAGTAATATGAGGCCACAAGACAAGGAATGAGACCAGCATCCAGGAGCTGCAGAAGGCCATGAAGTGATTCTCTTAGAGCCTGCACAAAACTCAGAGCCCTGCCAGTACCCTCATTTAGAACAGAACATGTATATTGCTTGATCCATTGTGTTTGTTATCACTTGTAACAGCAGCAGTGGGAAACTATTGTGGAACTATATGTCACAACTAAAAATCAAGAATTGTCAGGCTGCATATTAGAGCAAGACCATCAAGTGTGTCCCCTCAAGAAATTTATTTAATCAAAGTAAATAAATAGGTTAAAATTAATGGAGAGCAAAAAGATATATCATGCTACTGGTAGTCCATAGAAAGTTGGTGCAGCTGTAATATAACAAAAGTAAATCTGGGCTGGCGCCGCGGCTTGATAGGCTAATCCTCTGCCTGCGGCGCCGGCATACCCGGTTCTAGTCCCGGTTGTCCCTCTTCCAGGCCAGCTCTCTGCTGTGGCCCGGGAGTGCAGTGGAGGATGGCCCAAGTCCTTGAGCCCTGCACCCACATTGGAGACCAGGAGAAGCACCTGGCTCCTGGCTTCGGATCAGCGCGATGCGCCGGCCGTGGCGGCCACTGGAGGGTGAACCAACAGAAAAAGGAAGACCTTTCTCTCTCTGTCTCTCTCTCTCACTGTCCACTCTGTCAAAAAAAATATTAAATCTGAATACAAATATTATGAAGATTAATGAAGGTCACTTTGTAATGAAGAAGGATCTATTTTTCAGGAGGACATAACAACCCTAAGCATTTATGCACTATAACTGAACTTTCAAATACATGAAACAAAAATTTATAGAACTATAAGGGAAAATAGACAAATCAATGATATGGTCAGAAATTGGAATATTCCTCTGAGTAATTTACAGAACAAGTAAAAAACAAATTCAGCAGATCAGTAGAAGACTTGAATGACACTATCAATCACTGTGACCTAATTGACACTTGCAGAACACACCACCTACAAACAGTTAAGTAGGCATTCCTTTCAACACAGACTATTTACCAAGAAAGACCATATTCTGGGCTATGAAACAAGTTTCAATGCATTCATTAAGATCCTACAAAATGTGTTCTGTGCCTATAGTGAAATTAAGTTAGAAATCAATATCACAAATATATATGGAAATCCCCCCCCAAATACTTAGAAAATAAGTGTAATGCAATCAAATATTCCATTGGCCAGATAGAAATAACAGGAGGTTTCAAAATATTTTAACCTGAGGGAAAACAGAAATACAACTTTCAAATATTTGTGGGATGTAGATAAAGCAGCACTTGAAGAGTTGGGTTTTTGTTGTTATTGCTTGTTTGAATACTGAATTTCTGTAACAACAAAGACCTAACCTTCACCATAAGAAACTAGAAAAAGGGGCCAGTGTTGTGGCACAGCAGGTTAAGCTGTGCTTGGGACACCGGCATCCCATATCTGAGTGGTGGATCAAAACCCAGTTGCTATATTTCTGATCTAGCTCCCTAATAATGTACCTGATGGGGCAGGGGGTGATGGCCCAGGTTCTTGAGTCCCTGTCACCCACGTGGAAGAGCAGGATGGAGTTTCCAGCCCCTGGCTTCAGCCTGATCCAGCCCTGGATCTTCTGACCGTTTGGGAGTGGACCAGTGGATAGAAAATCAATCAGTTCTCTCTCTCTCTCTCTCTCTCTCTCTCTCTCTCTCTCTGCTTTTCAAATAAATAATAAATGAACACTTATTTTAAAAAAGGAAATAGAAAAAGAAGAAATGAAAGTAAGGAGAAGAAAAGAATAACAGATCAGACTCAGTGTATGAGATCCCTAAACCCCTGTGTTCATTGCAACACTATTCATGATAGCCAGGATATGCAGTCAACCAAAGATAAAAGCAAGCATATATGCATGCCAGTAATTGTACACGCCTTTTCAGAACAGCTTATTTTGTAACCTAAAACTGGAAACAACCCAATATCTATCAATAAGTGAATGGGTAGATTATCCAGATATTGTAACACTTCTCAACAACAAAAATGAGTGTTGAATCTCAAAAATATGCTGAGAAACAAAGCCAATCAGAAAGCACGCAATAATTTCAGAAAATACAGATCTGTAATGACAGCAGATACAGGGTTGCCTGGCTGAAACAAGAAACAAGAATGGAAGATTATCAAAAGGCAAGAGTAAACTTTGGAAGAGATGGATATATTCATTATTTTTTCTTGGGGGCTATGGTTTCCTAAGTGTAGATGTATTAAAATGTATCAAAATGTATACTCTAAATACATGTAGTTTACTGTGTGATTATTGTGTTATCATGCCTTAGTAAGTCTGCTAAAACTGATGAAGACTGTTACCTAGAACGTATGAAGAACTATCATACCTCAATAGTAAGAAACAATACAAAATAAAGCAAAATATTTGAACATTGTACCAAGAAAGTATTTTAAATGATCCATAACCACATTAGAATGACTAAAATTAAAAAGACTGATAATACCAAGTCTCTGTGAGGACGCAGAGTAAGTTAAGCTCTCATTCTCTGCCGATAGAGATGGCAAATGGGCATGCATTTTGGCAAACAGTCTTGAAGTTGCTTGTAAAGTGAAATACTTAGCATACAACCCAGCAACTCCTAGGTGTTTCTTTAAGAGAAATGGAACATTTGTCCACATAGAACTTTATTCATTACCATTCATGGCAGCATTGCTCACCGAAGGATGGTATCATCAAAAATTCAGAATATCCCAAATGTCTATCCCCTTACAAATGGAAAAGCAAATTGTGGTATCCGCATACATTGAAATACTATTTAGCAATAAAAACGAGGAAAACCCGGAAACTACAATAGCAGTTGCAGGAACTGAAACATCTAAGGTATGAATATAAAAAACATATTAAGGTAGAGAGTCAGAAATGCAGTGCCTACATAATGTGTTTATGTGAAATCTTGAGAAGGCAAAACTATAGTGCATGGCCGGCGCTGCGGCTCACTAGGCTAATCCTCCACCTTATGGCGCTGGCACACCGGGTTCTAGTCCCGGTCGGGGCACTGGATTCTCTCCCGGTTGCCCCTCTTCCAGGCCAGCTCTCTGCTGTGGCCAGGGAGTGCAGTGGAGGATGGCCCAAGTGCTTGGGCCCTGCACCCCATGGGAGACCAGGAGAAGCACCTGGCTCCTGGCATCAGATCAGCGCGGTGCACCCGCCTCAGCGTGCTGGCCGCGGCAGCCATTGGAGGGTGAACCAACGGCAAAGGAAGACCTTTCTCTCTCTCTCTCTCTCTCTCTCTCTCACTGTCCACTCTGCCTGTCCAAAAAAAAAAAAAAAAAAAAAAAAAAAACTATAGTGCAGAAAGATGGGTGCTTTCCTAGGGCTCTTTGAGGAGGGCACTGCCTGCTGAAAGGCACAAGGGGGCAGGCATGTTGGCTGATGGGAATTCTCTGTATTATGATTGGGGTGGTGCTTGTGCATCTATACACAGTTGCCCTACTTCTAAAACTTCACACACATAATGGGGATTTTATTGCATATTAATTATACCTTAATAAAGGCATTAAAAATTAGAAAAGAGTTTTGCTTGACTTCTTCTCCTTAAAGACTTTCATGCAGATTTACTCTGCAGTGAGACAGTGTCTCAGCCCACTCAGAGCTGCCCACTTGGGCTGCCTTGGACTCTGTTTTCATGCTAACCCAAGGCAATTTAATGCTCAGAATTGAGAAATGCATCAGTTTGTCTCATTCCCCGGCAAATAGGCTCTATGTACGGATAGTGATGGCACTTGGAAAGTATATTTTTATTTCATTTTGAAAGGTTTTAGATATATATTTCTGAATGCATAGCGAATCTTTGCTATTAGGACATAACACATTGCTTGGGTAAGTGAGGCATAGAAGCATGACATACTTCATATTCATTATTTCTAAATGTTGAATTTACATTTTTGAAATGTTGCTTTAACATCTTTAACTTCACCGCTCTCTGAGAACCTAGGAAATACTTCGTAATGTGTGCACTTCCTCTGGAGATGAATGCTCTGAGTGTGGATACACGGATCTGTGTTTTTCAGGCCCGGTTGCAGCATGCTTGAAATCTGGGATGTGGAAGACCCTTCCAACGCGGCGAACCCACCCTTGTGTAGCATCTTGCTCAAGGACCCGCGGCCCTACTTCACCACGGTGTTTCAGAACAGCATGTACAGAGTCCTGAAGGTTAACTGAGGTCTGCTACACCGCAGTGCGGAGCAGCTCGTGGGGAAAGCAGCACTTTATGGCAGATTTACACGAATAAAAATCACAAGCTTTAATAAGGGATGCTTAGAAAGAAGATAAAAATGATAGAAGGGTTTTCAGATTACCAGAGGGAAATTACTTGTTTTTCATTGAATGTCAGCCCTTATTAAGCCTCTCCTATAAATCATTAAATCATCTCATATTACATTAACGCATTTCACCTTAGCATTTTTAAAGAAAACTATATGTAAAAGAACAATCAAGGATTTGGAAGTCCATTGTTATCCAGCTAAGTAAACTGCTTCAGATTCTCTGGAACGCAGCAGGGCGTATCTGTTCCAAGTTCTTACCCTGCATGGAACGAAAGCCCAGGCTCGGAAGTGACGGAAGTGACAGACACTGCCTGGGTCACAGCCCCTCTGCCTGCTGAGGACACTTGACCTTGTGCCTCCTCAGGGCTTTTGTGCTTTTCTCTCCCCAGCTCTCAGGGAAGATCTACAATAGTTTTAAATAACTTTTTTGTCATTTCATGTCCAAGTGTTTTTGAAGCAGCTTGCTCTGTAATGTTTCGAATCTCTTGAGATGCATTTCCCAGCCAGATGAGTATCTTCACAGGGATCAGTGTCACCTGGTCTCATAGGTTATCAGTCTGTCTTCAGCATCCAGGGGTTTTCCTCCTGATGTCCTGGTGACTAAAACTTGCCGTGATACACTGCCAAGGTTGGGGATTCAACAGACTCAGAAAAGAAAACCCAGTAAAGTGCATTCAGTGAGATTTTCAGAGCCTAAACCTTGAAGGAAGCAAAGGCCTCCACCTCGACGGCCCTGCAGCGCATCGCACGTCGTCCTCCCCAACACCAGCTTTTAATAGCAGCTCTTACATCCTCGTTTCTTTGTGGTTTTGGATGAGGAAGGCCATGGTGTATAAACCATCTGCCCCAAGGCAACCTCCCCAACAATAATGCTTTGAAAAGTGGCAGTGATTTTGCAGATGCTACCAAGTGCAAAGATACAAGTTATTACTCTTCTGTTTGGTAAATATTAAATATGCCAGGTCTGTAGCATTTTAATGTGTACCTACTTTAATCATCTTGGAATTCTTATAATTCCCTTATATTCTTGGCCCACTACACTTAAGAAAATTACTTAATTCCATAGAATAATTCACTTACAGTACGTAGGTGATTATATACAGGAAAGCAATAAAATTAAAGTTTTAGAATTATAAAATATTTTAGTACAGGATGCAAAGCAACTAAGAAAGCATGCCAGCATGCCACATTTTATTTACTTAGCACTTGAAGATAATTTATTTTGGTGTAAATGTGGAACAAAAAAGGAAAAGACATAAAACCTAACATCAGAATTAAAATAGCATTTTGAATGATGTTTTCATGGCAAACACTTTAAAGATACTGATATAATGCAACAAAATGGGGATGAGCTGTATTAACTAATGAGATGTTACATATACATAAAATGTTTTCACATCGATTCATGTTATACCCATGTACTGTGTATGTTAAGTGATAAAACTTGAAGATCCTCTATGTGTTTTTTCTTTTCTTATCCTTTACCAAGCATGATTTTTGACACTGAAGTAGTTCTAATGTGACAGTAGAAATCTTGGGTCTCTGGATTTGTTAGCTATGTTTATATTGACAGTGGTCTTTCTTAACCATTTTGAAACAATTCTGCATGTAGTCTCACTCAGAAAGCAATGCACTGTGGTGGAGATAGTGTGGGCTTTGTAGTCTGCGGTATCTAAGTTTGAATTCTGGCTCTTCTGTTTACCAGGTATTTTTCCTGCTATTCCAAAGACATTTGTTGAGCCTTTACTGTGTGTCAACCACTGTGCTGAGCCTGCTCGTGTCACTATGAGCCTCAATTTCTTCACTTGTGCACTCATACTAATGTGGCAGGGTCATAATGAGGATTAATGAAAAAAGTTGTTCAAGTGCTTGGCACAAATAGACACTCAACAAATACCAGCTATAGCTGCTCTCCCTCCCCTGACCCAGTAATATCAAATTACAAGATGAAATTAGCTCATCTCAGAAATTTCCAGATCAAATAATCCCAGTCAGCAAATGGGAATACTGGACAACAACTTGCTTTTATACAAGTTATGCTTTTGCTTTCTTACCTGTGTATGTTTCATTTTTTGTTCTTTTGAAATGTGAAGACTCTCCGTGGGTGCTGTGGGTTGAGTGATGGGCACTTTATTGCCAATACAGTGAAGCGTTTCCCCTGGTGTCCCAGGATCGTATTTTCTGCACACGGCTCTGAAGCCGTGACTGGCAGTGAGCAGCACACAGGCTGCAGCAGTCCGTTGCGCTTGCACCTGTGAGGAGCTGAAGCGTGCGTCAGCGTGCAGTGTGTGTGTGCCCCGTTCCTGCTGAGGGAGACGTCCCGCATCCGACGAGCCAGAGTGCTTCCACTGTTAATAAATGATAAATCTGCATTTTAGTCATTTGTAGTGCACAAGCAATACAAACTCCAAGTTTTGGGAAAAACATTAAATCTGAAAGGAGAAAATACTCAATAGGCATTATAAAGATCTCATGGTTTTCTTCCAGCCTTTATTTTAGGCATACTTTCATACACTTGTCCTTTAACATAGTTGTCAACAGTTACACATTTTGCTGTTCATGTGATAAATGCAGGAATGTTACCTTGTGATAGAAAACTTTAGTTGTCATATCCAATTTTATGTGTATACATGTGTGCATACATGTATAAAGATATTTATAAAAATTATTCATCTATTTAATTAAAAAGCAGAATTAGGAGGAGAGAGAGCTCTTCCATATGCTGGTCCAGTTCCCCAAAGGCTGCAATGCCCAGGGCTGGGCCAGGAGCTTCCTCCAGGTCTCCCACATGGGTGCAGGGGCCCAAGCACCTGGGCCATCCCCTACTGTTTTTCCCAAGCACATCAGCAGGGAGCTGGATCAGAAGTAGGGCAGCTGGGACTGGAGCCGGCATTGCAGACATTAGTTTAACCCGCTATGCCACAACACCGGCCCCCTGTATATAGATCTTAATGGGTTGTCTGTTTCCATTTTTGTTACATGTATGTATATCTAGAATACTACAGTGTGCTTCCAGTGCATTAAGGTTTTTTTAAAATTTCAAATTTCTTCTCTAAAACAGATTCCATACAGTTAAATGCCAACAAAAGAATATGTGGAGGCAGGCATTGTGGCCCAACAGGTGAAATCTGCCTGCCATGGCGGCATCCCATATCTGAGTGCCTGTTCAAGTCCTGCCTGCTCTGCTTACAATCCAGCATCCTGCTAATGCACCTAGGAAAGCAGAGGAAGAGGGACCAAGTTCTTGGGCCCCTGCCTTCTATGTGGATACCCAGATGGAGTTCCTAGCCCCCACTTTGGTCTGGCTCATTCTTGGCCATTACAGCAATTTTGTGGGGTGAATCAGCAGATCAAAGATCTCTCCCTCTCTCCCTCTCTCCCTCTCTCCCTCTCTCCCTCTCTCCCTCTCTCCCTCTCTCCCTCTCCCTCTCCCTCCCCCTCTCCTTCTCCCTCTCCCTCTCCCATACACACACATAAAATAAATTTTTTTTAGTACTTTCCCCCCTTTTTGTTTTTAAAGATTTTATGTATTTGAAAGTCAGAGTTACACATAGAGACGAGAGGCAGAGAGAGAGAGAGAGGTCTTCCATGCGCTGGTTCATCCTCCAATTGGCCGCAATGGCTGGAGCTGTGCCGATCCGAAGCCAGAAGCCACGAGCTTCTTCCGGGTCTCCCATGCAGGTGCAGGGGCCCAAGGACTTGGGCCATCTTCTGCTATCCTAGGCCATAGCAGAGAGCTAGATTGGAAGAGGAGCAGCCGGGACTAGAACCAGTGCCCATATGGGATGCTGCGCTTCAGGCCAAGGCTTTAACCCACTGCACTACAGCGCTGGCTCCCATAAAATAAATCTTAAAAATAACATGGGCACTCTAAAGCCTTCAGTGCAGTTTGTCTCATATAACCTTTGCAAAAGGATTGTGTGCACCACCCAAAGCCAGTGTATTGCAATACTCATGCAGCAGCCCTCATGAACACTGCTTAATCTTTTACAAAATATTTTCTACTATATTGAAGCCCAGCCCATACCCCTTAGTGCCTTAATGTAGAGTTACTGTGCCCCAGTCTCTCTCCCTGAGCCTACAGTTCCTCTGCAAAGATCAGCTCATTAAGGGAGTGACACAATTGTACCTGTAGATTATGTAGTTGACATCTCAGTGCCAGCCTCCATTCTGAGAATTCTGCAGCACTCACGGACCCCAGTGTCTGCTCTGGACTTGCAGTCCCTATGTCCTCACTGTGTTTACAAGTCAACTCCTTTCTAAAGATAAACTCACTAAATAAGGGAACTGGTACACAGGTCCTGCACACCTTGAAATTTGCTTATCGTCCCTCTAGCTAACTTCCCGGTGCTAGACTTTGAAATTTTTTTCATAAACTTCAAGCCCTGTTTAATAACCAATCTGCCCATGTGGGCCCCAGACAGCTGGAGCCCAAAATAGCATCACAAAATGTCCAAAAGAACATGCTATCTCCCATTGTGGATCAATTGGAGGAAGGCTGTGAGTGCTGGGACGCAATGGAAGACGCACAGGAGCTGATCATAACTCTGTTCAAACTCCCCGCCCCACTGGGGAGCCTGAAGATGGAGCCAGTAGTTGCCAGGCTCCTTGCTCTGTGTTTTCATGAAGTGCTTTTTCTCCCGCACCCCAGCATCAGTAATTGGCTTACTGTGTGCCAGGTGAGTGGACCCTGTTTGGGCAGGTTCTATGCCAATTCCTTCAAACAGTTTTGGAGGAGTTTGATAGCCGTGAGAGGCCCCAGATGGTGGTGGTGTTATGATTTGCATTCATTCCATCATTTGTGAAATTGGTCCTCATTCACATTTGTTGAATGGTTGTATTTCCTCTTGTGTATTACCTCTTTACATATGTATACCTCCACATTTATGGCTGTTCATTTCAGCACTGAGATTGCTAGTCCTGTAAAATTAATAAGCATGCCACATGAGTTTGTATATCTTACTACATAGGCTTGAGTTATACTTTGGGCTGTCTAAAATAGTTAAAGAGATGGGCGTTTAGCCAAACACTTGAATTCACCTCAGTACCCTGGTTCAATCCCCAGCTCTGGCCCCTGACTCCAACTTACTACTAATGCAGACCCTAGGAGACAGGAGTGATGGCTCAAGTAATTGAGCTCCTGCACCCATGTGGGAGACCTGGTTGAGTTCCCAGCTCCCAAGTACGGCCCTGGCCCAGCCCCAGCTATTGTGGACATTTTGCAGAGTGAGTCAATTCATGGGAACTCTGTCTCTTCATCTCTCAATAAGTAAACAAAAGTAATTCATAATTTACCTTGTACCATATTTAGTGTGTCATATTTAATATTAAGTATCACATTTAATAATCTTGATGTCTCAACTATTTAAGAAGAATCTAGTGATGATAATTTCATGGTTCAGACATGATCAAGTTTGTAAATTATGTGTGAAATTTCTTAAACCATTATTACTGACCTAATTTAGACTGATTTTAGGATGTAGAAAGCCAAATTTAAAAGTCTTCAACAGTTTCTTGCCACATGTGAACTAGTGGAGCTTTGCACACATCGCCCATTGTCCAGGAAAACCTCAGCACGCTCTCACCCTGTACAAGGCGTGTTTCTCTGAACAATGGGCGATGTGTTCACATTCTTTGATAAGCCCAATGAGTCTCCTCAAAAGGGGTGGGGGTGGAGAAAAAGGTGAGGAAAAATCTCTTTGAAAATTCTTTCTAACCATGAGAAACATAAGAAATTTTTCAAAATAACAGGCTGGTATAAAAACTTGCTGAACAAAAATCAAACTAAGAAGAATCCAGAAGTGAAGTGAGAAAGGCAGACCTTTGGCTTGTGGGGTGGCACACTGGGCTGAGCTACCACCTGTAATGCCAGCATCCCATATGAGTGCTGGTTCGAGTCCCTGCTGTTCCACTCCCCATGGGGCTCCTTGCTAATATACCTGGGAAAGCAGCAGAAAATGGCCCAAGGATTTGGGCCTCTGCAACCCATATGGAGCCCAGGATGGAATTCCAGGCTCCTGGCTTCCCAGCCCTGGCTATTGTGAACATTTTGGGAGTGAACCAGTGGATGGAAGATCTCTTTCTCCTTATCTCTCTCTAACTCTGCCTATCTAAAAAATAAAGCTTATATTTTGTTTATTTGAAAGGCAGAGTTACAGAGAGAGGTAGACAGAGAGAGAGGTCTTCCATCCACTGCTTCACTCTCCAGATGGCCACAGTGGCCAAAGCTGTGCAGATCCGAAGCCAGGAGCCAGGAGCTTCTTCCCGGTCTCCCATGTGGGTGCAGGGGCCCAAATATTTGGGCCACCTTCTACTGCTTCCCCAGGCCATAGCAGAGAGCTGGATCAGAAGAGGAATAGCCGGCGCTGCCGTAGCTCAATAGGCTGATCCTCCACCTGCAGTGCCGGCACCCCAGGTTCTAGTCCCGGTCGGGGTGCCGGATTCTGTCCCGGTTGCTCCCCTTCCAGTCCATCTCTCTGCTATGGCCCGGGCAGGCAGTGGAGGATAGCCCAAGTGCTTGGGCCCTGCACCCCATGGGAGACCAGGATAAGTACCTGGCTCCTGCCTTCAGATCAGCACAATGCGCCAGCCGTGGCGACCATTGGAGGGTGAACCAACAGAAAAAGGAAGACCTTTCTCTCTATCTCTCTCTCTCACTGTCCACTCTGCCTGTCAAAAATAAATAAATAGATAAATAAATAAAAAGAAGAGGAATAGTCAGGACTCGAACCGATGCCCATGTGGGATGCCAGCACTTCAGGCCAGGGCTTTAACCTGCTGCACCACAGCACCAGCCCCTAAAATAAATCTTAATAAAGAAAACTTTTAGAGAAAAGCAGGGAGAGTCACATTAAAATCAAATGGAAAAATGTACAAGTCTGATAAGAACTGGCACTTCTGTCTTGGAAGCCACTTTATTATTCAACAAATAGTAAGGTACGTATGTAGCCCCTGCAACCAACAGTTCCACCCTAAAGAAATACACCATGGAAGACAGTGACCAGAATGTTCATGGAAGCTGTATTTGAACATTAAAAAAATAAAAATAAAAAAAGGCTGACAACATCCCAAAGGACTTCCAATAGATTAAAGAAAGTGTTTCCATACCAGGGGTATTGTACAAGGATGAAAATCACGTATACTCAAATGTGTCAGCAGGAATTAATCTCTAATGTAATGCTGGGGTCAAAAATAAAAGGATGTGGGGTGTGTGTGTGTCTGGGTTGTGTAAATGTCTATGCCGTTTGTACACAGCCAAAAAGCAAACAAAAGATTATTATCAGGAGATAATAGAGTGGAAAAACAAGAGCATAGGCAAAATTAATTCAGAATATAAGCTGTTAATCACTTCCTGTCGAGAATACAACTGAAGAGAGGCAATGAGTGCTTCCAGGTTCCAGTCATGTCACTCGCCTGCATGTTAAGTACGTATGTGTTCATGTTACAATTTCCCAAAATGCACATATACTTTGTGTAACAATCTATTTTTCTTTCTTTTTTTTTGTGGGCATTTGAGGAACAAACCAGCAGAAGGAAGAGATCTTTTTCTTTCTTTTTTTTTTTATTTAATGAATGCATTTTTACAAAGATACAACTTTAAGAATACAGTGGTTCTTACCCCATTCCCCCTCACCCCGCTCCCATCCCACCTCCCATTCCCTCTCCCATATCCTTCTTCATTATGGATCATTTTTAGTATGACTTTTATATACAGAGGACCAACTCTGTGCTAATCACAGATTTCGACAATTTGCCACCACGCCCACACACAACACATGGAGTACAGTTTGGGGAGAGAATTTGCAATCGATTCTCATATTACAATTCAATAGGGACAGAGGTCCGACCTGGGGAGCAAGTGCACAGTGACTCCTGTTGTTCCTTTAATAATTAACACTCATTTTTATGATGTCAGTGATCATCTGAGGCTCTTGCAATCGGCTGCCAGGGCTATCGGGGCCTTTTGTGACCACAGACTCTGTCGGTATTTGGACACGTCCATAAACCAAGAGGATGTTCCCTTCTCCCTTCAGAGAAGAGTGTCTCCTTTGATGACCCTTCCCTTCCTCTGGGGTCTCACAGAGATCTTCCCTGTAGGATTTTTTTTTCCACAGAGTCTTGTCTTTCCATGTCTGAGATGCTCTTGCAGGCCTTTCAGCCTGACAAGGAAGCCTTATGGGTTGATTCTGAGGTCAGAGTGTTATTTACTGTGAAAGTCATTCTAGGAGTCTGCTCTGTTGACTGCTTCCATGTTGGTCCTTCCTTCCTTTTTTAATTCTATTATTTTTACTTGTTACTTGATGTTATTTATGTCATCCCTTTTAAACTTAGACCAGTCTAACTGTTGCCTTTAACATTTAATATCATTGTTAACAGTGAAGATGGTATTTATACCACCAATTCTTATGGGTTTGGAGCCCCATTAGTTCTTAGGCTGCACCCTGAGAGGTGAGTCTATATGCCTGTATGAAGAACTATACTGTTTTACAGTTTTAGACTACCTCCTCCATCTCTTATTCCCTCCCTTGTTTTTAACTGGGATCTCTTTCCAATTGCTTTAAAATACATATATAATTAACTCTGTTACATAGAGAGATCAGCAACAATCTGTATTTCAAACTTTTATTTATTTGAAAGGCAGAGAGGCAGAGAGAGAGAGAGGGAGGGAGGGAGAGAATCTTCCAAACACTGGTTCACTCCTCAAATGCCTGTATCAACTGGGGCTGGACTAGGCTGAAACCAGGAGCCCAGAGCCCAATCCCAGTCTCCTACATGGGTGGCAGAGATCCAAGTAACTGAGGCATCTCAGGGAGCGCACTAGCAGGCAGCTGGATCAGAAGCAGAGATGGGACTTGAACCAGGGAGCTCCGGTATGAAATGTATGCATCCCAAACAGTGGCTTAATTGCTGTGCTATGGTACTCCATGGAGTTAATGTATTTTGCTTCCTTCCAGGTAAGACTTTGGTAGCACAACAGTGGTTTTTAACTCTCAGATTCTTTTGCAGAGGCTCTCTGCACTTAACCAAGCATCAGAGTTGTTCTGGCAACCAAGGTCCACCTGCTTAGACCAGTTTTCAGATGGTGGATTTGATTGTGCAACTAGCACTTAGTTTCTTCAAATGACAGATGATGTGAGTATGCCTTTATTGAACAGTACAAAGCAGATGGAGTGTTATTTTTTAAAAAAAATTTTTAAAGCTTTGATTTGAAAGAGTTACACACTGAGAGGAGAGGCAGAGAGAGAGATTCTTCCATCCACTGGTTCACTCCCTGATTGGCTACAATAGCCAGAGCTGCGCTGATCTGAAGCCAGGAGCCAAGAGCTTCTTCCTGGTCTCCCACATGGGTGCAGGGGCCCAAGGACTTGGGCCATCTTCTATTGCTTTCCCAGGCCATAGCAGAGAGCTAGATCAGAATTGGAGCAGCCAGGACTCAAACAGGCGCCCATATGAGATGCTGGCACTGCAGGCGGTGGCTTTACCTGCTATGCCACAGTGCTGGTCCCAGAGTGTTATTTTTAATTTTATTTCATGTTTAAAAATTTTTTATAAAAGTAATTCAAAAAATTATAATTAGAAAAATGATAATTGGAAAATCCAGTATTGTAGATAAAAGAATATTATGACCTTACAGGAATAATACAGCTTTTCAAAAATTACTGACCAGATCATGCCCAGGACTTTAAAGAAAGATTTCATTCATAGATATTGTATGCTAATTCACAATACTTTTTTTTTTAATAATTCAAGATACACAATATCATATGGCTTCATCATTGCCTTAAAATAGCCTCTTGGTGGTGAGAATTCTGTTTTTGCAACCCAAGCCATCAGTGCAATTGATAGCCTTTGTGTATTTCAGATGGACGTGTTCCACCATGGGAATTCCCTTGAGGCCACAGCACAGTTGAGAGAGGGGACTTCCTTATCCATGCCACACCCACCCCACCTCCATTTGCAACCTCATCAAGCATATGGTGTAGAATGGAGACAAGTCCTTTGAGAACGGACTTAAGAAATAGCAACAATGCATCTCACACTTCTATGAAAATTCAAACACTGAAATTTGTTCAAATATTACTCCAGGCAAAGTTGTTACTTAAACATTGAAGGTATTAGACTTTCATTGCAGACTTGAGGAAAACAAAACTGTCATAATCTGAACTATACCTCTGAAGCAAATGACTTACTGTGTTTTAAAACCTGGAATGATTCCTTTTAAGATACATGGGAGGAAGCCCCACTAAAAACTATTACTGGGTGCAAAATATTTATTTTATGTCTACTTACTGCCATCTGCTGGCTAGGAAATGTTATAACACTTGTCATGAAATGACCTACAAAAAGTGCTAAAGCCCTGGGTGGCACCCGTTTTCACACAAAAATGCAAAACACCAAGAGAACTCTAGGGTGTGAATTGCACTTCCGGGTAGTTGTGACGGCTGTCCGTGGAGAGGACCTCTCCTGGTTCCGCCCTCCCTCCCCCACCCCAGCTGCGGGCCCTGCAGCCCATCTCCCTCTTGTGCCCCCGCTGCACTCTTGCTTTGGTGCCCGCCTCCCTCAGGATCATTGACTCCAAGCAGCAGACCCTCAACTGTTGCAACAAGGGATGGCTCCAAATTGCCAGCCACTCTTTCCCCAGACTGTGCTCACACTGTCCCCACCTGGGCCTGTTGCAATCTCAATGTTCCTCCCACTTCCTCCCCTTTCCTCCTTGGCATCTCTCCTCTTCCTGGAGGCAGGTTCTGGCCATGCCCTCTGTGCTAATGCCACCCTATGTGTCGTATTTTTGATCATCTAAAAATTATCTGTTAACCTTTGAAAGTCTCTTACCGAGCTGTGAACTACTGAAACCCAGGATTTGTGTTTTGTTTTCCACCCAGTATAGTATCTGGCACATTGTACGTGCTCAGTAAATGTTTCACAAAGGAATAACATGGAAAATAACTGGCTGGTGATTCCATTGGGACACTTCTACTGTTTGCCGTCCCTAAAATACAACTGAGTTATCCCCAAAATGGATCAACATTTTCTTAATTCTTTTTTAAGTATCCAACAGTGTACTGACCGCTCTGGGGACCAAGTTCATATATTAGCATGTAAATGAAGATGACTTTAATCCTTGCTTTACCATTTACTGACTGAGCAATGTATTTGATATTTTAAAATTTCAGCATCTGCAAAACGGAGATATTAAAAATGCCTCCCTCAAAATGTTGTTTTTAAAGAAAATAGGTTATAGAAAGGGCCTTCAAAAGCTCATGGAGAGGGGCATGGGACTAGGCTGCACGTCCCCAAAGCTAAGCGCCTGGATCTGTCTGAAATGGCGGAGGTGGAGGAGACACTGAAGCAACTTCAGAGCCAGAAGGGAGTGCAAGGGATCATGGTGGTGGACACGGAAGGCATTCCCATCAACAGCACGGTGGACAACCCTACCACCGAACAGCATGCCACCCTCATGCACAACTTCATCTTGAAGGCCCAGAGCACCGTGCGTGAAGTGACCTTCCTTCGAATTCACTCCAAGAAAAATGAAGTTATGGTTGCACCAGATGAAGACTACTTCCTGATTGCAATTCAGAATCCAGCTGAACAAGCCATTCTCTTGGATCCACGTCATTCCTTAATTTAATGCCATCCCCCCCCCCCCCCAAGTAATAGTGTTAATCATGTCAACCAGCTGGAATGTGGAAATGGCCTTGCAGCCCACTCAAACCAATCCATGGCCGGGGGGGGGGGGGCTGCCAGCCCTGCGCACCCCCCCCCACCCCAGGGGCCACTCTACTGTGCCAGCCACTTCTGGAGTTCCTGGAGTGGACCCGCTTTGCTCACTTCCGGTTTTGGAGCAAGAACTTGTGAGAAGCCCACACCCAGTTTCCTTCTGACCTTCACATCATCTTGTTCTTGAAAAAGCCTGTTTTTCTTTAACAAAAAATAACCAAATGCTAAGAAAAAAAAGCTCATTGGAGAATGTGTATTATGAAAATAATATGTATAGATTTCAAAACTTCGGAAGTTTATATAAAATTTGTGCAGATTTCATATTATTTGGTATAATATATAAATATATAAAGTCTTCACTGAATTATACTATGTACATGACCATATAACCTTCTTTCTTGTTATGATCACTGTAATGAATTCCACATTTTGTAGCTTTTTTTTAAAGATTTATTTTATTTATTTGAAAGTCACAGTTACATAAAGAGAGGAGAGGCAAAGAGAAAGAGAGAGGTCTTCCATCCACTGGTTCACTCCCCAATTGGCCACAATGGCCGGAGCTGCACTGATCCGAAGCCAGGAGCCAGGAGCTTCTTCTGGGTCTCCCACACAGGTGCAGGGGCCCAAGGACTTGGGCCATCTTCCACTGTTTTCCCAGGCCATAGCAGAGAGCTGGATTGGAAGAGGAGCAGCCGGGACTAGAACTGGTGCCTGCCTATATGGGATGCCGGTGCTTCAGGCCAGGGCATTAACCCGCTGCACCACAGCGCCAGCCCCCATTTTGTGACTTTAATATCTCTCTTCTCAAGAAAAAACAATGTAAAAGTACCACATATGAAGTGAAGATAGAAAATGTTAAAAATTATTACTTGTATATACTGTTTATATATATATACATTTTCTGAATAATTTAAGGTATCTTTCGAATTTATCTTTAAAAATTTTAAGTGTATAGGTACCTGTATGTGGATGTATGTATGTGTAAAGAGTGTGTATGACATTCCATAAATTTAGCGAGAGGAAGAAAGAAAGGTAGGTATGCGGTATGTAGTCAATAAAACAAACAGGATTAAAAGGTTCCAATATTTGAAAAAAAAACTCTATTTTTTATTTTTACTTTTCCATAAAGTTTTTGAGGTCCTCTTCTACGCGGAAAGCATGGGAGGTCGGTGGGAGCTCACTGAGTCCCTGCTTCTTGTTGCGGTTGCTAATGTGCAGGAACCAGCGATTTAAAGATCCACCCCGAGCAATTACTCTGGGTGGGATTTCTTCTTCCACTCAGTCATTTGCTTACTCTTTCAGGGCTGTGTGTCCCCTCTGGATTCTAGGATCAGTATTTCACTGCGCCAACGTGGGGCGGGGAAGGGTGCTTCATTATGACACTCTCTCTCTAACAAGGGCTAATTCATACTGTAATTTTAAGCAGCCATTACGCTGGGAAAAATGCACATGGCCTAAATGCATGAATGCATAGCTTCTACTGTAAGAGAACTGGTTGCTACAGCGTCCTGGTATCTTGTGTAGCTCTAAGATTTAAAGTCACTTTGTGTTTACTGGGGTGGGCTTATTCTCCAGGTATAACACAGGAAACAGGGCAGTCCCGGGAGCCTGGCTGCTAACCAACTTCTCACCAGCGCAGACACAGCCAATCAGAAAAGGCAAGTAACTGCTTCTCAACTGGAAAGCAGTCCAACCACCATCAAGCACGTCTATGTTGGTGTATAAATGTCACAGAGGTGCAGAGGATGGGTCAGGGTTTATTTTAGAGGTAGTCTGTTAATGTTTTCCCAGACTCTTTCTTTTGTAGCACACGATTTGCCTTGTCAGAAGACAAAAAGGCAAACAAGGGCAAAGTTCGTAGCTCGGCCCTGATACATGGTCGGATGGCTCTTTTTCCCACCTCCCACTGCCAGCACTGAAACACGGTGAGTAGAAGGGGAGGGGTGGTGACAGACGGAGATGTGCAAGTTTGGGTTAGAAGGATGACTGTGTGGCCAGCCCTATGTTGGAATGGCTCTCAGAACTTCTCACCCAAGTGACTGGCTGGAACTCTGATGTGGACGGTCACAGCAGGGCATATGGGTTACAAGACCAAGCTCTCAGAGCGTCCAGGTTGGGGGTTCAATTCCACCCAATCTAGCTTTTCCACTCTGCTCCCTGTATAGACCAGAGCTTTACCATAGCACAACAGATTTTCCCTGGGCATTCTTTTCCCAACTTCAGCCTCAACTTCAGAATACTTTAGCCAATGCCATTTCTCACATTAGATGATCTGTAATTGTGGGTTACTAGCTTATATGAAATAATATCTCATCACAGACTGCTGTACTTTTAAATCTTTGGACACACACAGTGTCACAGAGGCATGAAGAGACTCTCAATGGGAGACATTTTTTCTTCAGAACCACTTCCCCCTACAGGAAAGCGAGTAAAATTCACCATAGCAATGACAAGAAATCAGGTGTTGTGACAACTGTCTTTACTGTTTGAGACTATAGTGATATCATATTGAAGATCAATATGAAAGTATAGCAAAAGTATGCAAAGTTGTTTTTTTTTTTTTAACAAAGGTTGACTCTTTTGTTCTCCAGATCAGAAACATAAGCAGGCATGCAATTTCGGCTTCCTGGATTAAGTCTCCACCACACTAACACGGACTCCCATTCCAGCATCTACGACATTTTAGTGCCTTTCACTCTCTGCTCTCTTCACTTTCCTTAGGGCTACAAAACAGGCTTAATGGGGGAAGCAATACCTTTGCATGCACAAGATATAGCTCAAGGCCTGGCTCTTTATACACAACTCGGCAACTGCTTCCAGAGTAAACGGATACAAACAGAGCCCACCTGCCTGAGGACTCCAGACTAGGCAAACAGAGAAATCAAGAAGGCCTTGAAATAGAAAGGTGAAAAGGAACTGAACATCTCACACCATTGCTTTGGTGGAGTCAGCTCCTTCATGCCCCAGGTTCGCCTTTCCTGTCCGCAGCTACTTCTGCCTTGCCTGACCAACAGGAGGCTGCTCTCACCGACAACTATTCTTGCTGGAGGAGCTGTCAGGGTCTTTGGACTCTGAAAAGCCTGTGATCCGGGTATGACTCATGGGCACCAACACATTTATTTCAGAAGGGGAGAGGAGGAGCGGTTTAAAATAGACGGGAGGAAACCGGTCAAATCAGCTGAAGCTTTTCAATGCAGGTGCAAAATACGTGTGCTGTGGAGCTCAGGGGCTGCCCGTCTCCATGGGACGCCTTAGAAAACAGATGAAATCACAAAAATACTTATTGTTGGGAAACACGAGTAGTTTAAAATGGATGGAGAACAACTGTACAGCAACATAGCATCTTTCAAAAAATAAGATGTCCATTCAAGCTTTTTCAAGCAAGGCCCTCCAAAAGCTTATTACTGATTCAGTTTTCCTCTTTTTAATGACACACTTAGGTCCTGCATCCAATCCAGCTGGACTTCGATAGGTACCTTGTAAGCTCCTCTTCGGTGGCTGAGGACAGAGAGGAACATTGTTAGAGGAAAATGATGGACACAGAGAACTAAGCCTCAAAACCATGACACCACTGTGCTCCCAGAAACTGTGGCACCAGCTGTGGCAAAAACATGGGTTTGGGATGAGCTACCTGGGCTGTAGGAAACAGGTAGGCAGACACTGCTAGAATGCAAAGCTCTTTATACATCATATGCTTTAATCTTCAGAACATCTTTGTGAAGTCATTCTAGAGATGAGAAAATTGGGTCTTAAGAGATGTCAGATGCCTTTTTTTTTTTTTGGACAGGCAGAGTGGACAGTGAGAGAGACAGAAAGGTCTTCCTTTTTCTGTTCATTCGCCCTCTAATGGCCGCCACAGCTGGTGCACTGCGCTGATCGGAAGCCAGGAGCTAGGTGCTTCTCCTGGTCTCCCCTGGGGTGCAGGGCCCAAACACTTGGGCCATCCTCCACTGCCCTCCCGGGCCACAGCAGAGAGCTGGCCTGGAAGAGGGGCAACTGGGACAGAATCCGGCACCCCGACCAGGACTAGAACCCGGTGTGCCGGCGCCACAGGCGGAGGATTAGCCTAGTGAGCTGCGGCGCTGGCCTAGATGCCTTTTTAAAAGACACCCCTGGAAAAGGGCAAGACTTGGCAATCAAGTCAGCTTTTGGTCTATCCTATCCTATCCTATCCTAACCAAACGCAAATCAGGGGGGGGGACTGGACCTAGCTTTAAGAGGCCTACATCTTAAATGTGTTTCATTCACAGCTCTGGCTCCCAAGTCCAGCGTCCAGTTATTGCGGACCTTGGGAGGCAGCAGACAACGGATGGCTCCAGCACTTGATCCCCTTCCCCCATGGGGGAGATCTTGGCTGAGTTCTGAGCTCCTGGCGTCAGCCTGGCCACGCCCTAGCCATTTTAAACATTTGGAGAGTGAATCAATGGACGGGGGCACTCTCTCTCTCTAATAAATAAATACACTGAAGTGTCCTAGATGGAAATCATTTACCTAAGAGGACACAGAATTGGATGACTGATTCCTCACCCCAAACCTGAAAGGAGGAGAGCTGACACGGGAGGAAACTGCCGCTCAGCATCCATGGAACAGGGGGGTGGTGTGTGGAGGAGCGGGGAAATGGGACCAACTCGCTCACAACAGGTTCTCTCCCTGCCAGGGGCTCCCCTCTGTCCTGGACAGGCAAGTCTGGGCTCAACACGAGCCTCTTGTCCCCAGGAGGAAGCTGGGGCATTTCCGGAACTCTTTCTGACTTGGGTATCTCTTTTTAAAGGAATCAGGAATTAGCCAGGGGAGGCAAGCAAGGGCCTGTGAAGATGGAATGGGAGTTTGAGGAAGATCAAGGATAGGTTAGGCAGCCAGCCTGAGGCAATACAGGCACGGGACCTCTGGTATGCGATGCATCAGGGTTCCCAGGACTTGGGTGCAGGGGGAAAGTGATGTTCAACTTGGACTCTATCTCGAAGGTTTTCTTCCTGTCAAAAAGCAGCGCTTTGTAGAAGACCTCTGTCCACCACGGTGAGAACCCTGCTGCCCCTGACCTAGCAGGGAACCTGCGGGGTGCACCCCATAGCCCACAGCTCTTGCTGGACCTGAGGGTTTCTCCACCCTGGGTCATGGGCTCTGCTCATGCCTTTGGTTTGGCTTCCTTTGGCTTCTACTGGAGGACTTTTCAGGGCCTCAAACGTGTGAACACAAATTGTGAATCACGGAGGGTAGCGGGGAAAGGGGAAGATGCAGCTTTCCTAAAAATAAGAAAAATCAGTCTTTGTTTAGAAAGCGCGTGTTACCGTCTTAGGGAACCGGTGTTCTGTGAAAGACGCGTTAGGAAATCTGCTCTATGCGTATCTCTGCCTGCCTCAGGACTGCGTAGTGGCTAATTCGCTGAGACTGTAATTTCTTTCAACCGTAAGCCAAATAATAAACCAGATGCAGCATCTGGGCAGCCTTCCCTACTCCCAACACCCGGACTTTCCTCTCCTACTCCTCCCCACCCCATCGCTCTCCTCTTCTCTCTGTCTTCTTTCTCTCTCCTCCTCCTCCCCTTTACTATATAGGTATCCTGGGAACAAAGGAAACCTAGAGGACAGAAATACACATTCGGCAATGATTGTTTTCACTGGACTGTGACTTCATAACAGGCAAAAATAAGAAAAAAAGGAAACTTAATACAATCAATATTTGGGATAAATGTGTTGATTTAATTCATGAAGCATGTAGCTGTTAAATGGAAGTACACTACATGTACCCCAGGAATGAAAAAGATGACTTTTTAAAAAGATTTCTTTATTTAAAAAAGTTAGAGAGAGAGATAGAGGGAGGGGAGAGACAGAGACAGAAACAGAGACAGAGAGAGGACATAGGATGCTGAGGTTCCATCCCCTGGTTCACTTTCCAAATGGCCGCAACAGCGAGGGCTGGGCGAGGCTAAAGCCAGGAGCCAAGAGCTACACCAGGGTCTCCCACATGGGTATAAGGGCCCAAGTACTTGAGTCATCTTCTGCCACTTTCCCAGGCATTTTAGCAGGGAGCTGGATGGGAAGTGGAACAGCCGGAACATGAAGCTGCACTCATATGGATGCTGGTGCTACTGACAGCAGCTTAAGCCATTATGGCCCCAATAACTTGTTTCTGCCCAGGGCACAGAACCTCAGTGCTCCTGTACCCCAGGAGGTGCCACTTGTGTGTTGTCCTATGTAAGTAGCCCAGGATAGGGCAGCCCTGAGTTCATCCTTCATAAAAATGACTCCTTTTCTCATCCTTTATACCTCTATACCAATCTCTGTGGAGGAAGTAGATGAAACGTAGAATTCTCACAGGGAATGTTTACCTTAGCACAGAAGCGGGAAGGGAAGATCAGCTGGCACTCAGAGCACATGTGTTTTTCCTATGGAGCCAGGCAGTGTGAGTCCAGGGCCTGGGCATAATCCATCAGGCCCAAGCAGCACTCAGCAGGCAGGCTGCATGGCACCCAGCTACTTCTGCAATGCTGCTTGTGTGCAGTTCCAACATCGCCTACCAACTCCTCAAGGACTGGCAAGAAAGCCAAAGCTGGCAGCCGGTGTGGTGCCACCTTTCCATGCCAGAGCCACCTGCACACAGCACGGTGCAGAAGACAAGACAGAAAACCTGGCTCCTGTAGCCTGGAAACTGGCAGCAGTGGTGCCCATCCATCGCACTCAGCCCTGGCAACGGGGAGTTACAATGGGAGGAAGGGAGAAAGAGGGGGCCCAGATCAGCAGATGGGCTTGTGGGGGGGGTACTCCATTTTTCTCTGCTCCCCAGGGCCTACCACAATTGTCTACATGGTACTGCCTTCAATGGTCGAGTTTATCCTTGCCCTAGCATCACTGAAAAATCCGAGTGGCCTTGGAAAGTGACTGCCTTTGGATTTTGCAGCACAATGATCTACTCCAAAACACAAGTACTAGTATCGATTGTTACTGCCTTTCGCTGATTTGGGGGATGACTGTATTCCACAAGGTACTTTTTGGTCTTCACGCCATGACAGGTGAGATAGTATCTGGGACTTGAGTTCGCCTGAAGGCCACCTTGCTGTTCATAGGGTCTGGTGCCCAGCTCGGGAACACCTGCACAGCTGGCAGCTGGGACATGCAGGGCTTGGGCTCTTCCCCCATCACAGTGTGGCCCCTCCCTGGGGATTCCTCAGGCTGGCTGATTCTAACAGAGGCCCAGGCTCCGAAGGCACCTGTCCTGGAGAGAGGCAGGTGAAAGTCAATCACCCTCTGTGATCCAGTCTCAGGCACTCAGACAGTATCACTTTTCCCACACCAGATTCACAGAGGTGGTTAAAAGTGTGCCCATTCTCCAGTAGATGGAACATGGATCCCATTCTTGATGGGAAGAGTACCAAAGACTTTATGGACATTCTTTGAAACAGCCACAGAGTCTCAGTTTCTCCATATGTTAAATGGGAATAACAACACTTCCTGGACTGGATTTTTCAAGGGTAAAAGGGAAAAGTTGGGGCTAACAGAGTAATTTATGTTTTTTGAAAAGTCAGGTGCGGTCAAAACACAAGAGACAGAAAAAGTTGTGGGTGCCGGTTCAAGTCTCAGCTGCTCCACTTCTGATCCAGTTCTCTGCTAATGGCCTGGGAAAGCAGCAGATGGCCCAAGTCCTTGGGCCCCTGCACTGTGTGGGAGACCTGGAAGAAGCTCCTGGCTCCTGGCTTTCGATCGGCCCAGATGGCTGCTGCAGCCACCTTGGGAGTGAGCCAATGGATGGAAGACCTGTCTCTCTCTCTTTTAACTGTGCTTCTCAAATCAATCAATCGATCTTTTTAAAAAAAAGTTGTATTACAATTCTCAAATGGCACCATTTTATAATATTTCATTGTCTCAGACACAGTTTCTTCACTGGCATCCTTCTCTTCAATATACAAATCACCTGAATTGTAAAAGTATACTTTCCCCAAAGGAGCAACAATAAAGCTACCTTGAATGAAAGAGAATTGTAGCCTGAAGCATTTTTTTGTTTTTCCCAAAACTTCCTTGATCTAAATAAGGCTGTCCACCACTATTTGTTACACCCATTCCCAAAGCTCAGTGACTTGCAAATATTGCTGCATGTTGCTGTGTGTTTATAGTGGAAAGAACTTAAGAACAAAAATGAGTTGTCATTGGCTTATTCATCATTGCATATAAAGGTTACCTTTACTGAATTGGTATATATAAGATAGGTTAACAATTTTTTTCCTGTACTCATTTAAACTGTTTCACCAAAAATAATTAATTGTACTCATCTATTAGTTAAGGGCTTTTGTTGCAAACATTAAGCACACACACAACCTAGTCTGAGGAGGCTTAAACAGAAAAGGGAAATGCAGGGTGCCCCCAGCACTTGAGTGCTGAAACATGGCTCACCCTAGGGAGGGTTGGAACCAGTAGTGGGGGGAATCTGCATTCTCCAAGATTCTTGCATCCTCTCCCCCTCCTGTTTCACTGTGTCTGCTCCACCATTCTTTGTGCAGACTGATTTTCTTTTTCCTACCTTTCCACTGCCCTGACAAGCTGGTAAGCAGAAGTGGCTGCCTCATAATTTTCTAGTTTGAGTCTTCCGTTCACAGGCTTGCTCACACCTCGTTAGCTGCAGGTACAGACACAGTATGTGTGGCCCTGCAGGGGTCAACATTCATTCAGGGGCAAGTCACAGAACACAATTCTGCTTCAGGCTGCGGGGCTTAGGTGGAGACATGGGGGCTAGTGGGGAGAGCCTCAGGAATTCTTTGGGAAATGAGTGACATTCCAGAAGGTGCCTGGTACAACTAATCTACTCACATTTTCCTGTTCTAGCAGTCTGAAGGGCGGCACTTATGTTTTATTTGTCTTTAACCTCAACATCAAGTCCACTGGGTTGTTCTTAGGTCCTCTGAGTTCCTAGAAAGTCCCGCACGGTGTTTACAGCCGCACTGCCTAAGTAACCACTAGAGTCTGGGTGCAGACTTTGAGATGCTTGTGCTAATTAGCACAGTAAATGGGATTTAAGTCCATCCTGATTATCTGAAATGTAACCAAAAGGCATATGTTGATGTTTGAAAACAAAGTTCCATAACATAACTTCTCCTCTTTGATGAAATAACACAAAATGCATTTTAGGTGGGAACGGACTGGGAAAAGAAAGGGCCTACTAACCAAGGGAAATTTGTGGACCTAGCATTTAGCTATATAGTTGTGTCTTAGGTTTTAATCTAAATAATGCTTTTATGGGTTGAAACCAAACAATGTATGTCCTGGTATCTGTAGGCCAGGGACACAGGAGGGCTTTATGAAAAACAAATCCATTTGAAATGAAAAAGAAAACAACGTGGAGGTGGACTGCTGGCGGAAGATTGAAGACAGGAGGAAAACGGGCAATGGACGTCTAGTAATCAGAGCTAGCCTTCCTCCACGGGAATCAAAATCACAAACCAGCCACTTCTAATCAAAGCATCACAGGCTTTCTGCACTGGGTGGCACTTCAGGAGTCACATACTTCATCCCTCCTGGTGTCATTAAGTGATCTGACCAGGGCCACACAGCTGACCTGGAAGGGCCGGCAGGAAACACGCAGAAGTCCTGGGAAAAGTGGGCCCCCGTTTGCTCCTTCAAAGAGGGACAATCTCGGCCAGGGCTGAATTCATCTTCTGTAACGCTATGGGTTCAGGGACTTACGTCCTGTGATCTTGCCAGGCAGCATGCGTCCCAGAGCTTCACTCTGCGGGGCCATCTGCACCTCTGTGATGTGTCTGCTTTCCCGCCGGCTCCTCTTCCTGCCTGCTTTTCCAGGAAAGCTCTAAGCTGGGAGGCCTGACACGCACTGCTGATGCCTAGTTTCATGCACTTTCCAGCTGCCTTTTCCAACACAATTATATAAATATCTTCCTGCTCAGGTTTATTTTCCAAGCCAATGGTTCCCCACCCTGGTGGTGTCACAACACACTGAGGTACTGCAGTGGGCTGTCAGCAGCGGTGCAAGTCATTTGTTACTAACAATAGAGTTCCAAAGTCTGCGAAAGAATTACTTTTAAATGTATAAATTAAAGAGAACTCACAGTAATCCTATGATACGCCACACTCCATTGCACTGAATGTACTTTCTTCGGAAAGCTTGTGATTGTAGGATGAGCTCTTGTGACCTTCATTTTTAATAAGCAATTTTTAGGGGATAGGCACTGTGGCATGAGCACTAAGTGTCCTATTTCAGAGTTGTTGTGATAATTAAACAATTAACATATGTAAAAGATTTCAAATGATACCCAGAACTTGGGAAAGGCAAGTTTTGTAGAAGCTGTCATATTTGCTATGATAAAGCTTTTCCCTTTCCTTGACGTTCTATCAGTTGTCTTGTCTTTGGGCACAAAGAATGAAATGTCTCATTACTGTATTGAATCACACCCATACATAAATATGTAGGTGGCCTACGCCTGGATTTCTTTTGTTTTCATGATGCTTAAAATTCCATGAGGCCTCTTCCTTGGCTGGTTCCCCAGATGTGTCTTGTGCTCCGGTAACCCCAGGAAAAATGGGATTTGGCACAAGGAGCTATCTCCAGAATATTTTGATTCTTCACTGGCTCTCAGACTTGCACCTTGATTCATTTCTCCCTCCCTGCATCCATCATTTTCAGGCTCTTTATGTTTCTGGCTAGTTCAGAGACAAGAGGAGGGGAGATTCCTGTTCAGATTGCCAGAGCTACAGCTGAGCTGGGGCCTTGGAAATGACTCCCTGGCACCCCAGCTGGAAGTTCCAAACTACTGCTCAGGGTACCTTCTGTGCCCTGCATAAATTACACTAGCATTCATGACCTGATCTACGTGGCTACAAAAGAGGAGCCAGAGGGGCCAATGCCAGGGACAAGGTCCCACCTTTGTTATGTAAAACCCACTTCCACATTTTGCTTTGTAATCTGCGACACACCCTGCATTCCTTGTCATCGCATGACTTTGGGTTTTTACCTCATAGTCTGTGTAAAGATAAATTAGCATAAGTCAAACCTGTAGTATTCTAAGGAGTAAGAACAGGGGTCATTTCTTCTTTCTCCGAAGCTGAAGCTGAGGGTCTCAGCCTCCACACTTAGCTGGCGGAACTTCTGAAAACAGATGTCTTTCTTTCCTGAGTGAGGGCTGAGCATCAGCATTCTCCAAGGCCTCCCAGGCAGGGTGAAGGTTGTCAGCACTCAAGGATGAGAGGGGCAGGCCTGCGGGAATCCACTGATCAGTCATGGGTAACCCCCTCACCCCTCTTCAGGTTCCAAGAAATGGCCGAGTGATGCCAAGACTCTAACAGCTCTGAAATATTGCAGTTCCACAAATCCCAAAATAACATGCTTGCGTAACCTTTCAACAAAACCTTAGAAATAGCACATGGTGTATTGTTACCTGTTTCATTTTCTTGGCAGTATTTTATGATCTATTTCCAAGATACATCCTTGTTTTAAGATTTATTTATTTGAAAGGCAGAGTGATGGGGGTGTGTGTGGGGGGGGTGAAACGGGGAATAGCTTTCATCTGCAAATAGCCACAACAGCTAAGTCTGGACCAGGCTAAAGCTAGCAGCCAGGGGCTCCATCCTGGTCTCCCACATGGCTGGCAAGGGACCCAAGTACCTGGGCCATCTTCTGCTGCCTTCTCAGATGTACCAGCAGGAAGCTGGGTCAGAAGCAGAGTAGCTGGCACTTGAACCGGCACTCTGATAAGAGATGCCAGCCCCTCACAGATACATCTTAAGGCACTAAGCAAGAGTTATTATGGATGTTCAGCAGGTATTCCTTCAAAAAATAAGTTAGCAAATGGAGGAAGGTAAGCACTGTGAAGGTAAGTATTGTTTTCTCCATAACTGCTACAATCAAGATTTGTTTGCTTTTCTTGAATGTGTCTGTAAGTGTATAATTATTAAATATTAGTAATGGAAGAATTTGAGAAACCATTTATTTGCCCAAAGAATACAAAACAGGAGCAAAACTTAAAAATTAACTTACTAAAGAGGTGTATGACTTCCAAATGCTCTAAGTAGATTCTTTAGAGTAAGTCTCAAACCGCTGTCAAGGCGAGCATTTTGCAAGGTGTGATCAGGAGCCACATGCAGCACAAGCCCTTGGCTAGGCCCATCTCCCCAGACTCCTCCCTCTCCAGGCACAGGAGCCAGTAATCTACATTTTAAGTTTCCAAGGTATTTTGCTTGACTTTTTTTTTTTTTACAGCAGCAATGTTGTCTTTAAATTACAATTGTACAGGGTCAGTGTTGTGGCATAGCAGGAAAAGCCACTGCCTGTGAAACCAGCATCCCATATTGGCACCAGATCGAGTCCCAGTTGCTTCACTCCTGATCTAGCTCCCTGCTAACGGCCCAGGAAAAGAAGCTCTTGGCTCCTGGCTTTGGCCGTTATGGCCATCTGGGGAGTGAGCCAGCAAATGGAAGATCTCTGTGTCTGTCCCTTTTACTCTGTAACTCTGACATTCAAATAAAAAAATAAATCCTTTGAAAAAAAAAGAAAAGGAAGAAAAGAAATTCACAACATGTAATCTTGCAGAAAGGCAAACAAGTTTTTTTAAAAAGATTTATTTACTTATTTGAAAGGCAGAGTTAGAGAGGAGAGTTGGGGGATAGGGGAGAGATAGAGATCTTTCATCTGCTGGCTCACTCCCTAAATGGTCACAACAGCCATGGCTGGGCAATGAGCCTTGAACTCCATCTGGGTCTCCTACATGAGTGGCAGGGGCCCAAGCACTTGGGCCATTTTCCACTGCCTTCTCAAGTACATTAGCAGGGACTGGATCAGAAGTGGGGCAGCAATACTCCAACCAGTGCCCATATGGGATACCTGTGTCCAAGCAGCAGCTTAACCCGCTGCACCATCCAGTCCCTAATATGTTAAACGTTTGCACAGAACTTGCTGAAGAGTAGAAGGAAAGCAACTTGCCAATCAGTGTCTTTCATTTTGTTGGCTGGAATGAGCTTCAAAGATGGCCAAGCGCCCTGGTTGTCCAGGATGACCACAGAGGGCTGCATTCAGGCATTCTCTGTTACATCAGGAGACTCGCAGCAGATTCTCCATGCAAGTCTAACTCCTTTGAACAAAATAATATCACAGGTTAAAATTCTGAAACTGACAATGAAGAAATTGTGTGTGCTCCATAAATGACTTCTAATGACTTTTTTTAAAAAGGTTTATTTATTTATTTGAAAGTCAGAGTTACACACAGAGAGGAGAGGCAGAGAGAGAAAGGTCTTCCATCTGATGGTTCACTCCCCAGATGGCTGCAATGGCCGGAGCTCTGCCGATCTGAAGCCAGGAGCCAGGAGCTTCTTCCAGGTCTTCCACATGGGTGCAGGGGCCCAAGGACTTGGGCCACCTTACACTGCTTTCCCAGGCCATAGCAGAGAGCTAGACTGGAAGAGGAGCAGCCGGGACTAGAACCGGCACCCATATGGGATGCCGGTGTTTCAGGCCAGGGCGTTAACCCACTGTGCCACAGCGGCGGCCCCCATAAATGACTTCTTAAAGTCCCAGTCCTATTTATTTCATCATGGTTGATGAAAAAAAGAACAAATCAAGCCTGAGTGTGAAGGGCAGTGCTATGACAAGCTGCCAGAGAACCCTCTCGTGGGTCAGTGCCAACTTGGCCACGAGACTGTTTTAGGTCCAAGTGTGACTCAACTCTGCACAAGGCAAGACACAGCATTTGGACCAATCTCTGGGTGGGACTGCTGTGGCTTCTCTCGTGAGAATGTGGAAATTCTGACTTCATTCTCTGAACAAGTGAGTACTGAGAGAGGCTTGGCGTCCCAAACACCACTGGGCCTAAAGCCTCATTAACATCACTGCATCCATCCCCAGTCACCCCACACAGAGGCAGAGATACCAAAGGCATGGGTGGGAGCCCATGATATGTGCAGTAACAGGACCAAGAATGGGCCGTGTGCTCAGATAATACCTCTTCTCCCTCCTTTGTCCATGGCACCCAACAATCCGTTTTGAGCCAGTCACAAAAGAGGGAGATAACTTTTATCTTTCTGACTCCCAATACTCTCATGAGCTCAGGAGCAATGGCAGTTGGGTCATGGCTCCTTCAGAGGCTGCCCAGAACCCACCAGCACATCCCTCCCACAGCTCCTAGGAACTTGTGTGGTGCACACTGCTCTGCAACAAGATGCCACAGCGAGTGCACGAAGGATTTCACTGCACTTTGCACGGGGCTCTTGCTGGAGCAGCCTGGGCTCCTCCAGACACAAGGGCCACTAAGTTTAGCTGCAGAATCAGCTGCTGGAACCCATGCCAGTCAGTTTTCTCAGGAGAGCCAAAGACTCCTTACCTGTTGCTCCGCCCTAATCTGTCACCTGCTGCAAATGAGCACCTTAGCAACATAACACTTCTTGGCAGGTAAAAGTGAGAAACCCACTCACTCCAGCAATGCTGAGCAGTGTGTGTAATTTGGGTCATCTGGAGATGGCAATGAATCATCTCCAGCTTTTCCCTTAAGCTTAGTTTCCTGAGACCAAAGTAGGATTTGTGGCATTAACCAAAGGGAACTGAATTAATACCTGTGTGGTAAGCAAAACAACTACACCTCATAGTTTTTAAATGTCTGCAAGATGAATGTAAAATAACTATATTTTAGCAATATATAGTGGAGGGGCCAGCACTGTGGTGCAGTGGGTTAAGCCATTGTCTGCCATGCCTGCATCCCATATAAGCGCTGGTTCATGTCCCAGCTGCTCCACTTCTGATTCAGCTCACTGCTAATGTGCCTGGGGAAACAGCAGAAGATGGGCTAGGTACTTGGGCCTCTGCCATCCATGTAGGAGACCCAGATGGAGTTATAGGCTCCTGACTTTGGTCTGGCCCAGTCCCAACTGTTTTGGCCATTTGAGGAGTTAATCAGTAGATGGAACACCTCTCTCTCTCTCTCTCTCACTCACTCACTCACTCACTCTTCCTGTAACTCTGCCTTTCAAATATATCAATTTTTAAAAAAATATATATATAGCGGACACTCTGAAAGGTTATACTTAAACTAATCATTAAGAATTTGTTGCATCAAACAAGGTTTGATTCACTTATTTATTCAAATTGTTATGGACTATGCATGGGGATACAGCATTGCCTTCGTGGAACTTAGGGCTAATTCACAGTCCATGCATTTCAAATGGAAAATGTTTGCTCAAAATTGACAAACGAGGTGCAGTCCACTAATCACACCTTCCTTCCAAGGAGCTCACTTAACCTTTCAGCTGCCATGCTCTCAAGGTTCTACTCAAAGCCCATCGCACCTTCCCTCTCCTGGTTAGAGGAGAAGCCACCAGGTCCCTGGGCTTTCCCCCCATGTTGTCCCGTGGCTGCCCGCACCATTTGCTGGCAGTTCCTGTCCTCAGAGCACACCCTCTGGCACAGTGTTGAAAATCCATCAGCCTCTTGCTCAGGAAATGTCGCTAGTCTCCTACTTCCAAGTTGAAAGTATATCACTCATTAAGGCTCCGAATCTCAATCAGCCTTTGCTTCCTACTATGTACTGCAGAGGGTGCTGTGGTGTGTCACCCGGACGCCCCCTCAGGTCCGAAGTCTGTCTTTCAGATGCGGGGGGTGTGGTGGCTGAAGGCTCCCTAGAGTCCCCCTTGGTAAACTGCTCCTGGCGGAAGGGACGTGCCTCGCAAGGTCTTCCCCGTTCACCAGAGGCAGCAGCGTCAGCTTGGCTGTGTGGCTGTCCTCATCCAGGACCCCTGCTGCAGGCTGCACGCTTCTGAAGAGCAGTCCACTTACAGCGCTCCCTGTGGGCTGGGCTGCAGTTCTGCTTCTCTCACCCCAATTCCAGCTTCCTCATTCCCTCACGGGCTCAGAGATCCACAGTCCAACAGAGAAGTCAACTACACAGGCACTGAAACAGCATAGTTAGCAATGTGACAGGAGGGGTCTCCGTTACTAGATGTGGGCCCAGGGAGGCCAGGGAGGAGGGAAGTTCCTGCCAGACTTGAGTTCTCAGCTAGAGCTTCC